AATCCCTGGAAGCGGCCCAGCGCCCTCGCCACCTCTCCTTTTCGCACCCCCATCCCCTTCTCGCCCCACCTGGACGCCGCTCCACCCCTACCACTAACTCTATCCTGCGCCCATAAGAGCAAAAAGTCTGAATAAGCCGCACTGTGAGCAGTAGAAGGTACTACACAAAAATCACACGCCTCACCTGCTTTTGCGCAGGCGCACACAGGACACGAACCGGACTAGCATGGAGCACTCTGGGAGCCGTGGGCGGAGCCAGAGACGCCACCGCAAGGATCGCAGGGAGTTGTAGGCCCACCGTCTCCGGAAACAGCGTCTTCCCACCGTACCGCCGCCGCACTGGCACCTGGGAGTCGTTGGCGGATAGACCCAAAGCCTTCTGGGAGTCGTAGTTCTTTAACCCGCTCCCGCGTTTTCTCGGAGCCTGGATTGTCCAGCGCGGGTTCTGCTCAGGTGAGTGCCTCCTTCCGCAGCAGGCCCATCTCTGCCCTTTGTAGCGCTGCCGTGGAGGAGCTGATGGTCTCCATATTTTCTCTCCCACGCATTCGGTAGGCATCCCTGGGGAGATGATACTCCCCTCAGTGATCCCCCAAAGCCTATCTACCGGCGGCCCTCCAGGCAGGAGTGCCCTAAGCAGCTGGTGTCCCCCCTTACCCGCTTTCGACTCTGCGGCCGGGTCTCACTCCTTGATTTCACCTCCCAACCTGGGTGCGGTGAGAGCGCACCCTCTTCCGTCCTGATTACAACCTCGAGTGGTCAGGGGTGGCCTGGGCAGCGATCAGGCGGCTGTGGAAGCCAAGAGGAGGCGCCAAACCCAGCCCAGGGATCAGGAAAGACTTGCAAAACAAAGGATCTCAAATCTACCATGCCCAAACGAAATTCCAGATTCTCTACCCTAAACTTAACCCCTCTCCCAATATTTCCCCATTCTTCTCTAACTCCCATTTCCTCTCTACTAAATGGTCCCACTACCTTCCAAATGTTCAAGCCTAAAAAACTTGGAGTTGTCCCGAGTCCTTTGTTACTCTCATCCACTGCCCTCCCCCAAGACTTGTGAGAGTCCTATCTGCTCTATCTCCAGAAGAGATCCAGAATCTGACCACTCCTCTCCAATTCCACTGCCTCCACTCTGCTCCGAGCGACCACTGTTGCTCACCTGGGTCAGTGCAGGAGCCTCCTCGCTGGTCTGCCAATGCCACCCTCCTCTCTTTATTCACACTCAGCCCAAGGAATCCTGTTAAAGTAAAAAGTAGATCCTGTCACTACATAGCTTAAAACCGTCCAATGGTTCCTATTTCACTCAGAATAAAGTCCAAGCCCCTGATCCTCTCTGGTCTTCAACCACAACACACTTTCTACCTGTCCTTCAGGTCCTTTGCATTTGCTATTAACTTTGTCTGCAACATTCTTCTCACCTTAATACCCGACTCTTCCTCCTCCTGGCCTCAGCTCAGAGGATAATTCCTTCGTATTACTCCCTATATTTGGGAAGTAATATCAGCTCCTCCACTAGAAATTAGTGCCTGTAACCCTTCCTGTTTTGTTCACAGCTGTGTCCCCAGTGCCCAGTAAAATGTTAGACACATAGGAGACAGTGAGTGGATATTGCTTAATGAACTAATGAGTGAATGAAAGCTTAAGCTGAGACTTGAAGGTTCCAGGCCTGCACAGTGCTGGGACAAGAGTGTTCCAGACAATGGGTTTACTCTGGGCGCTATCAAGACAGCCTCCCCGGAGGCAAGGACCCTACGATCCTAAAACCACGTGTAACTCTCCTCCTCTCTTTCCCCATCCAGGAGAAGCCTACCCTTTCCGCC